GAGGACCACCGCTAGCTCCGAGAGCGCGCAGTCAGGGGGCCTGTCTGTGTCGAGCGCCGTGAGGCGTTCGACTCCCATGGCCGCAGTCTGCTTCATGCGTCAGCCTGCCGCTCGGAGCTGCTCGCCTGACATAAGCGGGAGGGCCCCCTCCGCAACTCATGCTCGTATGTCATGAAATAGATATGGCAGCTCCTCCAGTTCTTGCCCATCTTAAGCCCAGAACTCTTGAAACTTCACACTCTTCCGATCCATGATGCCCCGCGGGCGCTGTATGGTTGCGCCCCCGTCGACGAAGACAGGAGAGACCTGATGGGGCTTCTCGCATCGCCCGATGCAGGACCGATACAGCACTCTGAGATTCCGTCCACTCTCGAAATTCATCAAGTGACTGACTGATGGCCCGTCGCTGGCTTCTCCGCGAAACTCGTTCACTCAAGTTGACTGCTTCAGCGAGCCCATGACACTCAGCGCGCCAGCTGATGATAACGGCTGAAGCCGAGATGTCCGCGGCATGCCGTCCTTCGGCCTGAGGACTTGACGCCCTTGCTCGGGCGCCTCCTGGCACAACTTCGTACATGCTGAAATATAACAACTGCTGCTGCTTCGCTTCGTTGTTCCTGGCGCGGCGTTTGGAATATGCATCTAGAACAACATGCGCCCGGGGCCCACCGCCCACTGATGCGATCCCTCACCGGCGCAGCCCTGGGCGAGGTAGCCTCCAGAACAGTGTCGGTGCGAAAGTGTGGCTCCTCTGCGCGAGAACGTCCAAGGCTGGCCTGGCCATGGTGCGAAGCGAAACTGGCCTCCACCGTGCGAGTCCACGCACTGCGAAAGACAGACGATGATATCACAATGACGCGAGCCAAGGGAGTGCGCTACATATCGGTCCACAGCTTCTGCAGGCGGATAAATGCACGAATAAATGAAACCGATGTTTTCCCTTTCAGCACTCCAGGTGGCCTCAGAAGTGCGCCACTCAACGTTGGAATCTGGATTCCCCTTCTGGCCCCTGGGGCGATGGTTCGCGAAATACTTCGTGAGACAGTTGCATGGGGCTACGATCTGAAGGTTCGCACGCTGGGCTGGATTACTACTAGACTGTTCTGGAACAACTAGCATGGGAGGTGGCGGGCGGGGCGTGATGGGGGTCCGAAGATGGGCTCGAAGGCCAGCGGGTCCTCCTCTTCGTCCGAGTCGCATCGCGCACCTCCCAGCGGGTCGCCAACGCCTGTCTCGGCTTCGCTGAGGGGAGCCCGCGGCGCTTCCCTCTCCACTTCGCCAGCGCTCTCAACGGGGAACCGGGAAACCACTGGCGAATTCGATCGTGCCTCTTCTGCTTAGCCAACTGCTGTGCGAGCCTACGTTCCACCTTCGCTCGGCTCGACTTGAGGCCTTCCACGGGCCGCTAAGATGGACGGGCCACTAGTGGGAGCTGGGGTGGGATATCGAGAAACCCAGTGTACGTTTGACTGCCTTCCGAGACGAGCTCAAAACTGAAACCTATGCGGGGTTTCCAAGGGGCGTCGAAGACGGCCCTGAGCCCAATGATACAAGGTCTGGCAGCCTCAGAGCTCAAAGCAACATCTAAATGCGAGGGCCGATCGCCCCCAGACACGCATGCGCACTCAGCCTCGCATGCGACTACGATGCCCGCCATTTTGTCCACGAAGCCTGCGGCGCACAACTGCGCTGGCGACATGTTCCAGTTACCGATGACGATCCATGGCAACTGGATGGATGCGAGCGCGCTGCCAAGTCGCCTGAAACGTGAGACGTTGTCGCCACGGAGGCCGATCCCCGAGCGGCCGTAACAGATGCACACAATGATGGAAAACCCTCGCACGAGGAGCAAGACTGGCAATAACCCATCGAACGCTGCGCTCCGACCGCGACGAAGCGCAGGGGGATTCCGAGCAGCGTCGCCAACCCCAGCAGGACGATGGCTACGCACAAACATCGACTCACCTCCTTCATTCACTCGAGCTGACTGGTCGGGGTGGATTTGCTTCCATCTACTTTCGATTCTGGCGCCATTGGCCAGCAGTTTCAAACCTGCACCTCTCGCCTTGGACGCCCACTTGCCCAACTCGCGCTGATGCGCGCGGGTCTCGCGCGCAGAAACGCAGTCGCGTGACTTAGCAGTTTGACAGAGATACTCCCAACTCTTCTCTCCGACGCAGGTCGCACCCCCGAAGAGAAGTTTCGTCGAGCTGGCCGAAGCTCCTATGTACCACACGTACTACCAGTACCCGAAGTAAGCGCACCAGAGCCTGAAGGACTGCTGCACTCCCCTCTCGACGTCGGAGTAGATGTCACCCGCGATGGGACTGCCGCAGCCCATAGCCGCAACTCCTCTTGACTCTCGGGCACCTTGATGTCGTTGGCGCCTTTGCCGCCCCCCTTGCCCTGTTCGGCTGCCTGTGCTGCGTCGAGCCTGGCCTTGGATATAACAGCCGCCGCCTTCTTGACCATCTGCTCGTCAACCACCTGCGCCGCCGAGGCTGGGCTCCCCGCTGGTGCGGCGGCTCAACGGGCTGCGCCTGGGACCGCGGTGGCTGGGGGGGGCGCCTTGCCCGCGCCAGGGGCCGCGCCGGCGCCCCCCGCGGGGGGCCATGCGGCTGCCGATGCGGGCGCGCCACTGCCCGCATCTGCGAATCCAACTCTTTCTTCAACTCTCTGAGCTGGATCTTGTCGTTCCCCTCGCAGTCCCAACTCTCGAACTGGTCGAAGGTGGCTGAATCGATGCGAAGCTCGAAAGCAGGCGTCTGGCCATCAGCGGCGCTGGCCGCCTGCGTGGCCTGCACCCTTTCGGCGATACCCTAAGTCTCCGCAGCTCGCTTCTTGTGGATCTCGGCCAACGCCAGGTCCTCCGCCGCCTTCTGTTCCTTGGTCTCTGTCAAGTGCAGCTGCCTCCTCAGGCGGAAAACCTGCGTGGCCGTCTGCTCGTGGCGGTGGGGCGCCGCGCGCCAAGCTCCGTCAGCTTTGCGCACCGTCTCTGCCTCTGATACCGTCTCCTCCTGCTGCGCCATTAGCTGCAGCCGCTCCTGCTGCGCTGCTATGGCCGACCTCAGCACCTCGTCGTTGGACACCTCCGCGGCCTTCTTGAGCAACGCCTGCAATCCCGCAGTCTGCTGTACCTTGGGCGCTCCCCCGCTGCCCCGCTAGGGACTGCGATGCCGACCGCGACGCCGCTGAGTGCTCCACCCGCCTGTGTCGTCGCCCTCGTCCTGCACCACGATCTCCTCGACCTTCTTATCGAAAATGGCGCTG